CATCAACTGTCTGTTAAGCTATGAGGCAGCTTCAATGTTCAACCACCCTGAATTACACCAACATTTAGCATTTGGTATTTTCTACCAGCTTACTACACCTTTAAAATGCTTGTTATATAGTAGCCAACATTATTAGACTAATGTTTTGTAAAAAGTTCAAACTCTCTTACTCTCAAGAATGGAAATTCTTGGGACCAGCAGTTAGCGTAATGGCTATGTCACTGGAATCCCACATAGTCGACCGCAGTTCGTGTCCCAGACCCAGTGGCTTCAAACTCACACCGGGCGCGTGTGTGTGTGTGCCCAAGATCCCGAGAGGAGAATGGAGGAGAAGGGATTGCAGCGTGGCCATCCTCCCTGGGGGTGGGGGATGGTGATTTCTTGCTTTCTGTCTCTCTGTCCCTCTCTGTCTTTCTGGCAAGTGCATGCACCCTATAGAGAAAACCTCTCAAAAGAAAAAAAGAAAAGAATGGAAATTCTTGGGCTGGTCCTGTGGTCTAGTGGGTTAAAGGGGGCTGGATCTCACATGGCTAACTGGATTGTGAATCCCAGTCATGGTGGCTTAAAAAATATACCACATGTGTGTCCATGCATGTCCCAAATCCTGATAGGAGAGAAACAGAAAAGGGTCTGTGGTATGAATGGGCCCCATTGCAGAGTGCTTATTCCCTCTCCTTGTCAGTTTCTGAAAAACCCATGTGCCCTCTGGCAGTTAAAAAAAAAATAAGAATGAAAACTCTTAATTTGACCATCAAAATAATCTTTAAAATCTGCAAATTGATATAACTTATTTTGGAGTTTTAAAAAAATTAAATGGGAGGGGCAACAGGTGGTGTCATGGTTAAAACACTGGATTTCCACATGGCCGACCACAGATGAATCCCGGACCCAGTGGCTTAAAAATCATGAGAGTACATGTGCATGATGCCTCAAGTTCCAAGAACAGAACGGAGGACAGGGGACTGCAATGTGCCTATTCCTCCAGGGATTGAGTTCTCACTTTCTCTCTCCCTCTCTCTGGTAAATGCACCACTATGGTAAAAGTGTAAAATAATGACCACTGATCTTTGATATTTTTTAGACAAATAAGTCTAACTACCACATAATAGAAAGATCATGAAAATAATTTAGGTTAAACAATATGTTACTATGTATAAATCTATGATTTAGTAATGTAATTTAATTTTAACCTGCAAGTACTTTTCTGCTTAAAATGTTGGCAAATGACATGATTGTATACATAGAAGACCCAATAGTATCCATGAAAAAACTTCTCGAGTAAAGAGTAGAGACTCCAGAAATAGACCCCAAAACATACAGTCAACCTATCTTTGACAAAGGGTACCAGTCAATCCAGTGGGAAAAAGGAAACCTTTTTAGGAAATGGTGCTGGAAAAACTGGGTATCCAACTGCAGAAAGATGAATCTGAACCCCTATCTGTCACCATTAACAAAAATCATATCAAAGTGGATCAAAGATCTAAACCTAAGACCACAAAGTATAAAACTACTGGTGGAAAACACCGGGGAAATTCTGGGAGACATTGTGGTTGGCAAAGATTTCTTAAGCAAGACTCCCAAAGCACAGGCAATGGTCCCCAAAATTTCAGGTGGGATTACATCAGATTAAGGAGATTCTACATAGCAAAAGACAGTAATTAGTGTGAATCAACAACCCTCTGAATGAGAATTTTTGTTAACTGTGCCACAGATAAGGGACTGATAACCAGAATACACAGGGAACTCAAGCAGCTTACCTGGAAGAAAATAGTTAATCCAATTAAAGAGGAGAAAATGAGCTGAATAAACAACTTTCTAAGGAAGACATACGAACAGCCAAAAAGCATGTGAAAAAGTGCTCAACATCCCTCATTGTAAGGAAGATGCAGATCAAAACCATAATGAGATACCACCTAACCCCAGTCAGAATGGCAAAGATTAAAAAACAAATAATGGAAAGTGCTGGAGAGGATGTGGTAAAAGGGGGACACTCCTACACTGTTGGTGGGAATGTAAATTGGTCCAGCCACTGGAGAATTATACAGTTCCTCAAAGACCTTCAAATAGAACTACCATATGATCCAGCAATTCCACTCCTAGGAATCTACCCAAAGAACAGGAGAGCACTCAGTTAGAAAAATGCCTGCACAACTATTTTCACTGCAGTATTATTCACGATTGCTAAGACATAAAATCAACCCAAATGTCCGCAAACAGATGAATCGATTGAAAAATTATGGCACATACTCCATGGAATACTATTCAGCCATAAAAAAAACAAGGCCCTGGAATTTGATAGAAAGTGAATGAATATGGAAGATTTGTTGCTGAGTGAAGCAAGTCAGGCTATGAAAGAGAGATACTGTACATCTCCACTTAACATATACCTACTATCTGTACTCTATGGTAGAGACTAAAAGACTGGAGAACAGAAAAGCATTAAAAATTGTAATGGACACTAGAGACAAAGTGGAAAAAGAGTGTAGGAGGGGAAGAACATAGGAAAGGTAATTTTGAAAAAAAATAGAGAGGTAAGACACTTGTGGGACACAGATAAGGTTTTTATCTGTTGACGAGGATGTGTATAATAGTCTCAACTGGGCTGGACTGAGGTGTATATCATGCTGGGTAAAGTCTCTTCAGAATTTAAATGATGTATAGTGACTTAATGTATGAATAATAATTCCTTTTCTTTTGGAGAGGTTTTCGCTACAGGGCGCGTGCGCTCGCCAGACAGAGAGACAGAGACAGAAAACGAGAAATCATCCCCCAGAGGGGATGGTCACGCCGCAATCTCTTCTCCTCCATTCTCCTCTCGGGATCTTGGGCACACATGCACATGTGCCCGGCATGAGTTTTAAGCCACCAGGTCCAGGACACGAACCGCGGTCAACTATGTGGGAGTCCAGCGACATAGCCATTACGCTAACTGCTGGTTCCCATGAATAATAATTTTTAAAATTAATAAAATCATCAGTATTACAAAGCCTACTGGCAACAACATAAGTGTGCCTCCCTTAGCTATCTGTGGTTTATGCTTCAAGACTACATTATAAAACAGTATCAATTCTAAAGAAATGCAAATGTCTTATACTCAAGTAATACAGAGAGATCCTTGTACACAAAAGAGAAACTGATATTTACTGTTATCAAGGAAGTTTTAAAACCTGGCAAATCAAAGAAAATACTGGGTGAGACTTTATAACATTTAAATATCATTGGTGAAAGCTAAAGTCTTATTCTGACAAACCAAAATGCCAGGAGAAAAAAAATCTTCCTATAATTAGCAAAAATATATTAAATTTATACTTATTTGCTGTTAAAATAATATCTCAAAATAAATATAGTACTTATAAACTGCAAAAATTGTTGTTTTTAAAATCAGATAGCAGTACCCAGATCCTGAACTGTAGAAAACTGCAAAATTTAAAAGTCCATAAAAAATCAAAAGTACATTTTAATATACCATAAACTACTTTTTAGTATCAATTCTCAAGTAATTGTACTTACTGCTGTCTATGAATAGTTTTCTTTTTAAATAATCCACATGTGAGATAAAACAAAGCCCTTTTATGAATTCAGACTTTACTCAAAATGAGATGAAAGAAGATTTCTAAAGTATTCCACTTTGTGCTTCTTTTCCTCTCTTTAAAGGAGACATACAAAATTGAGTAATAGAAATCTATACTTATTTCACCCCAAATCTTCTAAATCTGCTGTATTTTTTGACTAAAATGTTTTCTAGATTAGATGCTATTAACTATTTCAGCCTCAATATTTCCTGAAAGGGAGGGAAAAAAAACCTTGAAAAAATGAAAGTCAAATTTTGTTCTTCTCCTAGATTTTATATATTGTTGGGTTCTTGGGAAAGTCATGACACGTTTTTGCATAGAAAAATGCATCATGACTTTCCTAACAACCTAATATTTTAATCTTCTTTATCCATGGCGGATACATTCCAGGACCCCTATTCCAAACAAATGCCTGGAACCATGGATAATAGCAAATTGTACCAAATGTTTTTGTCCCATACACACTTATGTACAATAAAGTTTAATTTATAAATTAGGCACATTAAAGGATTAACAATAACAAATGATAGAATTACAACAATATACTATAGTAAAAGGTATATGAAAGTGGCCTGACTCCCCTTCTCTCTCTCAAAGTATTTTATTTCACTGTGTATACTCACATATCCTTGAACTGTGCTTGAGCATGGGTAGCTAAAACTGTAAAAAGCAAAATCATAAACAACCACTAATTCAGGGTTAAAAATAAATAGGGTTAAAAATAATGCAGGTATCGGGAACCAGCAGTTAGCGTAATGGCTATGTCGCTGGACTCCCACGTAGTCGACCGCAGTTGGCGTCCCGGACCCGGTGGCTTAAAACTCACACAGGGCGCGTGTGCGTGCGTGCCCAAGATCCTGACAGGAGAATGGAGGAGAAGGGGTTGTGGCGTGACCATCCCCCCTGGGGGATGATTTCTCGCTTTCTATCTCTCTGTCTCTCTCTGTCTGGTGAGCGCACGTGCCCTATAGTGAAAACCTCTCCAAAAAAAAAAAAAATGCAGGTATTCAGTACTCGGTTAATGATCAGTTTGGTGGTTGTTACTATCTAATTATAAAGAAGGATCTTTTTTTTTTTTTTTTGAGAGGTTTTTCACTATAGGGTGCGGGCGCTGGCCAGACAGACAGAGAAAGACAGAGAGACAGAAAACGAGAAATCACCCCCCAGAGGAGATGGCCACGCCGCAATCCCTTCTCCTCCATTCTCCTTTCGGGATCTTGGGCATGCACACACATGCGCCCGGCGTGGGTTTTAAGCCACCGGGTCCAGGACGCGAACTGCGGTCAACTACGTGGAAGTCCAGCGACATAGCCATTCCACTAACTGCTGGTTCCAAGGATCGTAACTTTTGTTTTTTGGCCAAAGCCACTGACTAACCTCAATATAGGAGAGAGTAACAGTAATTAACATATCAAGTATACAGCTTACTTCTGAGAGAGAGAATTTCCTTCTGTGGTCCAGAAGATGAATGAGTAGAACCCATAATTCCTGAATACACGCACACGGGCAATGGTGACTCACTAAGGCTTCAGAAGGCCTGACCTGTGGGAAAAAAAAATGAAGTAAGTTACTTATAAGAGGACAGGACAAAGTTGAAGACATCAGTACATACTTATTGATATCATAATCAAAGGAGCATGGTAGTAGAGTAAAAACAGTCACAGACCAACAGAACAAATAAAAGAGCATGAAAATGAATCAATATACTTAAAAGATAGTTCACGTTTGACAAGGTGACAACACACAATGGAGAAAGGATGGTCTCTTCAATAGTGTTAAGAAAACTGGATATCCACATACAGAAGACTGATTTTGCACCCTCACCTTGCACCACATACAAAAATCAACTTGAGATGAATTAAAGACTTAAATACAAAACTAAAACTGGGGCCAGCAGGTGGCATAGTGGTCAAGGTGCTAGACTTCCACATGGCCAACCACGGTTCAAGTTCTGGACTCGGAGGCTTGAAACTCATGTCAGGCATGTGTGCGCGCATGCTCAAAATCCCAAGGGAAGGGACTGTGGCATGGTCATCTCCCCTGGGGGTTGATTTCTCACTTTCTCTCCCTCTGTCTCTCCAGTAAGCTTATGTACCCTATAACAAAAATTTCTCAAAAAAATAAGTAAGTAAAACTTAGTGGGGGAAAAAAAAATACAAGGCTAAAACTACCAGAAGAAAACTTAGGGGAAGGTGACATCAGCCAGATGGCAGAATAGGAAGTCTAAGGTCCTATATCCCCCCACATAAAGTTAACTGTCAACAGAGACCAGAATATCCTTTCAAAAACCCCAACACTTGGAACAAAGCCTGAGACGCCCACATGGCTCGCAGAACTGAATGGAATCCAAATTAGAGGGGTGAAAAGAAAGGTCTAACTCTCCCACTCCTCCTCCACTGTCTTCAAGTTAGCACAGTACCAGATGGAGAGGGTTTCCCTAGCCCCCACTTTCTGCCAAGGAAAAAGAACCAAAGGCAGATACCCAGCTTCTCTAGAATCTAAGGTACTTCTCAGGAAGCCCACTCCAGTCTCGCCTGATAAGGAATACAAAGGAAAATAGCACAGCTAAGGTGAAAACAAAGGAAAGGTTATACTGAAAACCATGGAGATCTCTCAATGGTACCTCCTTAACCTGCCAGCTGCAGTGCCTGATTAGAGATGGCCAACCTCATAGCTCACCTACAAGGCTGAGCTGGCTGCTGTTAATTTTTCATTTGTTTAGTAACTGCCAATTAAAAAAACAAAGAAAGAAATTAAAAAAAAAAAAAAAACTTGCTTTAGGGAAGCTGTGCTCACCAGTGAGCGAGAGGAAGTGAGACAGCATCCCCAAGGGTGGATGGCCACGACATAATCCCTTCTTCTCCATTCTCTTCTCAGAATTTTGGACACACACACAGACACACAGTGTTTTCCAAACCACTGGGTCTGGGATTCAAAAGACAGAGTCAGCCACGTGAAATCCAGTCACCTCAACCATGACACCACTGACTGACTACGTTTAGAATCACAGTAGGAAGTTCAGTCTCCCTTGAGACCCTAGTCTGCTAGTGTCCCCTCCCAGCCTCAGAACGACTCCACCCACAAACAAATCAATCCAGTCAGGAATATACACAGCTCCAGCAACATCAGAGAAGCAAAGAGGCTAGACTTCTTCCAGAAAGTCGAGCTGCACTACCATTGTCAAAAAGCTCGCCCAATGACCCTGCACAAGCAGTAAGGTTCCATCTCTACATGTGGAGAACAGTAGGGACTATACCTGCTTGACCCAGAAGGTCAGTCAATCAACTCAAGTCAAAAGTCCACCACACAGTGCCATAGTGGCATGGGAACAATCCTCAATCATGCCTTTCTAAGGAGTATATCCTCTAGCTCTGCCTGTACTAAACTTAATCTGCCTAACTTAGAGCTAAACCTGCAGTCCAGCCTAACTACAGATTATAAATAATTGAAGTGTCCAATCAGTGAATACTTCTATCACTGGCCTGACTAGATGCCACCACGGTACTCAGCCAGCAGATCCACTGGCAGCACACCCTAACCAGTGGTCTCACTGAACAGTGGAGTCCAGCTAGCAGCTCCACCCAACATCTGAACAAAGGCAGTGGCCCAACTCTTAGAGAACTCAAAACAACCTCTACCTACCCAAGTCATTAAAGCTAGCTCTTCTATAGTCAGAGGCCATACTAAAGTAAAAGTCTGTTTTTGCCAAACAATATCTGTAAAGAACAGAATAGGAGGTTGTCTCCTCAAATGCATGGATAACTCAAGGACACAATCATTACAAAGAATCAGAGAATTATGGCATCTCCAAAAGAAACTAATAAAGATCTAGTAATGGACCCCAAAGAAAGGGAGATCAATGAAATGGCTAACAAAACTCAGAATACTATTTATAAATAAATAAACTGCAAGAATATACGAAGAGAAAATTTAATGAAATTTGGAAAATACAAGAAAAAGGGAGTTAGATGAAGAAATAGAAATAATTTTTAAAATCCTAGACATGAAGACAAGACAGACAGATTTCAATATTCATCAACTGGGAACCAGCAGTTAGCATAATGGCTATGCTGCTGGACTTCCATGTAGTCACCTGTGGTTCGTGTCCCAGACCTGGTGGCTTAAAACTCATGCCGGTCACGCATGCGTGCATGCCTAAGATCCCGAGAGGAGAATGGAGGAGAAGGGATTGCAGCGTGGCCATCCCCCCTGGAAGGTGATTTCTCGCTTTCTGTCTCTCTGTCTCTCTGTCTGGCGAGCGCATGCGCCCTATAGCAAAAACCTCTCCAAAAAAAAAATATATGTATATTCATCAACATCAACAGCAGACTTGTCAAGCAGAAAAAAAAATCAGTGAGCTGGAAGACAAAACATTGAAGTATCTGGTCAGAGGGACAAAAAGAATAAAAAAGAATGATCAAAGTCCATGGGAATTATGGAACATTATCAAGAGAACAAATTTTTGTATAAAAGAAATTACAGAAGAAAGAGAAAAGGGGCCAGAAATCGTATTTAAAGAAATAATGGCTGAAAACTTTGCTAATGTGGGGATAGATGCCAACACCCAAGTATAAGAAAAACAGATGACTCCACTTAAATGTAAGACAAAGAGGGGTAAAACAGGACACATACTAAACTGCCATAAATCTAATAAAAAGAAAAAACTCTGAGAGCAATATGAGACAAGAAGCCCCATCATATACAAAGGAATGGCAGCATGAGTATGAGCAGGTTTGTCAGGAAACCCCGCAGGGCAAGGGAATCAATGAAATACTCTAATTAAATGAAATACTCTAAGAGCTGAAAAAGAAAATGCCAAAAAGAACACTTTATCCACCAAAGCTGTCCTTCAGAAATGAGGGAGAAAAAAAACTTTTCCAAGGCAAACAAAACCTAAAGGATTTATTTATTTATTTTTAACTGCCAGAGGGCATGTGCACTCACCAAAGGCAGAGAAGAGGGAGAGGGAGAGTTACCTCCTAATGGGGCATAGTCACACTACAATTCTCCTCCATTTCTTTATCCTGTCAGGATATTTGGGCATACACATACACATGCCTGGTGGTTTTTAAAGACTGGGGTCAGGACATGAACTGTTCAGTCAGTACAAGAAGCCCCATCATATACAAAGGAATGGCAGCATGAGTATGAGCAGGTTTGTCAGGAAACCCCGCAGGGCAAGGGAATCAATGAAATACTCTAATTAAATGAAATACTCTAAGAGCTGAAAAAGAAAATGCCAAAAAGAACACTTTATCCACCAAAGCTGTCCTTCAGAAATGAGGGAGAAAAAAAACTTTTCCAAGGCAAACAAAACCTAAAGGATTTATTTATTTATTTTTAACTGCCAGACCGTCAGAAATGAGGGAGAAAAAAAACTTTTCCAAGGCAAACAAAACCTAAAGGATTTATTTATTTATTTTTAACTGCCAGAGGGCATGTGCACTCACCAAAGGCAGAGAAGAGGGAGAGGGAGAGTTACCTCCTAATGGGGCATAGTCACACTACAATTCTCCTCCATTTCTTTATCCTGTCAGGATATTTGGGCATACACATACACATGCCTGGTGGTTTTTAAAGACTGGGGTCAGGACATGAACTGTTCAGTCAGTCATGTGGATCCAATTTCCTTAACCACTAGGCTACAGGGCTAGCACAGGAGCTCTTTAAACTGAAAAAGGCACCTATTAAAATGAAGCATATGAATGCACAAAATTCAGTAGTACAACAGAATCTTATTCACAATACTGTATGACTGTAATGGTGGTGTGTAAGGCAATGTTATTTCTAGTATAAGACAAAAGTATTAGTAACACAGCTAAAACAAATAGTCAAGGAATACACACTCTAAAATGATGTAAATTCTGCCATCAAAAACATATTAGAGAGGAACAAAAGGATAAAACAGATGAATACAATTAAAGTTAAATTGTTATCAGCTTGAAATGGGCTATTATAAACATTCCATGTAAGCTTCATGGTAACCAAAAAACTAAAATCTTTAGAAGCAGCACAAAACTAAACTAGACAGGATTCAAAGCAGAAAACCATGAAACCACAAAGAAAGAGCATTAATCTCCTTATCTAGATCCATCAGAGTTCTTGTATACCTAGTACATGGTCAATGAGCAGTTACATTTTGAAAGAAATTTTTGTAAACACTAGGTCTCAACACAGTACTTAACATATTCAGTAAATCATGCTATAAACAGATGTGCTATCAAGAGTTTTTGTTGTTCTGGGAACCAGCAGTTAGCGTAATGGCTATGTCGCTGGATTCCCACGTAGTCGACCGCGGTTCGCGTCCTGGGCCCGGTGGGCACTTGTGCGTGCGTGCCCAAGATCCCGAGAGGAGAATGGAGGAGAAGGGATTGTGGCGTGCCCATCCCCCTGGGGGGGGGGGGATTTCTTGCTTTCTGTCTCTATGTCTCTGTCTGTCTGGCGAGCGCACGCGCCCTATAGCGAAAAAAACCTCTCCAAAAAAATTTTTAAAAATAAATTAAAAAAAGAGTTTTTGTTGTTCTGTTTTCAGAGCATAGGCAGTGTAGATTAAGCACCATTGTTAAGGGTGCTAGAATTTTCCGAATGGCAAATGAACATTGGCTTCAACTTAAAAGATATCAGCTGCTTAACCCCTGACAAGAAAGTAAGCCTGTCCTTTGAAGTCAGGCAATGAAAGTCCTAGATGGCATCTTCTTTCAATAAGACTATTTTGGTCACATTGAAAATCTGTTGTTTAAGGGGCCAGATGGTGGCACAGCAGTAAAACGCAATGCTCTGTGAGGCTGACCCACACGGGAAGGTTCTAGGTTTATGTCCAGAGTCCTCCCTAAATATATATAGGACATGTGTGTGCCCAAAGTCTAGGGATGGTTGAAACTGGCAGTACACTGTTGAAAATGCTGTCTGTCTCTGTTTTTATCTCACTTGCTCACAGAAGAAATAAACAAACACATATTGAAAGAAAAGAAAGAAAATCTGTTTAGTGGAACCACCTTCATAAATTATCTTAGCCAGATCGTCTGGATAACTTGCTGCAGCTTCTGCACCACCACTTTCTGCTTTACCTTGCACTTTTGTTATGGAGACTGCTTCTCTACATACACCTCATGGACCAACCTCTATTAACTAAAAGTTTTCTTGTGCAGCTTCCTTACCTCTCTTAGCCTTCACAGAATTGAAGTTAGGGGATTTGGCTTTGGCTTAAGGGAATGCTGTGACTGGTTTGATCTACTTTCCACATCACTAAGACTTTCTTCACATCAGCAACAAGGCTGCTTTGTATCATTTGTGTGTTCACTAAAGTGGCACAATGAATTTCTTTGAAGGACTTTCCTTTGCATTCATTACTTGGCTGATTGGTATAAGAGGTTTTGTTTTCAGCCTCTCAACTTTCTACATACCTTCCTCACTAAACTTAACCATTTCAAGCTTTTGATTTAAACTATGAAATATGTGAAGATACTGTAGGGTTATGAACTGACCTAATTTCAATACGCTCCTGTCTCAGGGAATAGGGATGCCTGAGGAGCGGGTTGGTGGAAAGGTCAGAACATACATAACATTTACTGACTTAGTTGGGAGTGCTTTGTGGTATTCCAAAACAATTACAATAGTAACATCAAAGATTATTGATCACACATTGTAATAAAATACTAAAAAATGTTTGGGACCAGCTGGATGGTCTGGTGGTTAAAATAGACAGCTGATAGATCTGACATGGTCGACCAGGTTGTTCCAAGTCCTGAACTGGGCAGGGCAGCTTGAAAAACAGTATGCATGAGTGCCCCAAATCCCAAAAGTAGGGAGAGCACATGCTGTTGAAAAATGGAACGGACAGACTTGGTTGATACAGCACTATGTGTAAAAAAAAAAATGCAGTTATCTGTGATACCCAATGAAGTGAAGTGCTATCAAACAAGGTATTCCTGTATATCCAAAGAAAATGAGTCAGCATGTCCTAGATATTTATGTACTCTCATGTTCACTGCAGTATTCATATTAGCCAGCATATGGGCTCAATCTAAGAGTCCACCAACAAATGAATTAATAAAGTAGGGCATATATATATATATATACATATACATATATATATATAAAAGCAGCTGGATCCCACAAATAATATTTATTCATTTATTTATTTATCATTTACAACAACACGGATAAACTAAAAAAGACTTATGTTAAGTGAAACATGCCAAGCCAGAAAGACAAATACTGCATGCTCTCCCTTATGTGGGAAATCTAAAAAAGTTGATCCAAAGAAGCAGAGCAGGAACAGCCAGTGTCATGGTGGTTAAAGCAGCTGGATCCCACATGGCTGACTGTGTGATTTAAGTACTGAACCTGGCAGCTTGAGAAATACACTGGGCATGAGTGCATGCTTGCCCAAAATACCAAGGGAAAAATGGAGGAGAAGGGATTGTGATGTGACCATCTCTCAAGGGGGTACTCTCTCACTTTTCCTCCCTCTCTCCAGTGCACACATCCTCTAGCAAAAATTTTAAAAAACAAAGTAGAAGTAAAATAGAATGATGGTTATAAGGAGTGATGGTGGGGTGGAGTATGTCGATGAGAGGATACAAAATCAGTGAGATAAGAGGAGTAAGTTCAAGAAATTTATTGTAGAGCATGGTGATAATAGTAAACATGGATTGTATTCTTGAAAATCACTAAGTAGATTTTAATTGTTTTCATCACAGAAAATGAGTAAATATGTGAGGTAATGCACATGTTAATTAGCTCAATTTAGCCATTTCACAATACATACATATTTCAAAACTGTTGTATATGATAACCATATACAATTTTTGTCAATTACAAATTAACTTTAAAAATTACAATATTAATTCACTAATTAGTTGTAAACATGCTAACTAAATTTAAAAGTACAATAATAATATCATATCATCTAAATTTTAAAAACCATAAATCTAGGCTTTCCAAAATTTCAATTTTCCCATAAGTGTGACTTATGCTTGCAATCTGAGATAAGCGATAATAATCTATAAATTTTCAGTATTTAAATACGAACATAATACTTTTTTTTTTTTAATGGAGAGGTTTTTCGCTATAGGGCGCATGCACTCGCCAGACAGACAGAAAGAGACATAGAGACAGAATGCGAGAAATCACCCCCCAGGGGGGATGGCCATGCCGCAATCCCTTCTCCTCCATTCTCCTCTGGGGATCTCGTGCACGCCCGCCCATGCACCCGGCGTGAGTTTTAAGCCACCGGGTCTGGGACGTGAACCGCGGTCGACTACATGGGAGTCCAGCAACATAGCCATTACGCTAACTGCTGGTTCCCCAAACATAATACTTTTAAATCAACATCTCCACTCTATGATAAATGCAATTTAGTGAAAACATACAATTTCACCCAGATCTTTTATGAAAAGAAAAAAATCTTTTTTTTTTTTTTTTTTTTGGAAGTTTTTCCTTGTGGGGGGCGTGG